TCGTAAGCGAGTGGTAGGTTTGATTTACACGATACAATTCGTGTCGTAGGCCTGCCGTAAGCTTGTCGCATGCGACAAAGTCGTACCGTGTAAATAGGCCTTAACAAACCTCGGCACGCAGTTGGTGAACTTCTTTTAAAAAAAAAGTTGAAAAACAATAACAGCATTTCGCTAGAATTAGAATTCCCATAAATGTAAATATGTTTTTTGACATACATTTTTTCCTTGCAGCTTATCTTACCTTTCTGTCAATAGCATCTTCGCTAACCATTTTTACGAGTAGGGGTAAAGGGCAGACCCAACCTAACTGAAATATCAAAATTGAATTCCCGAAATTCCGAATCTTCATCAAATCCACGGTTATCTTGGAAGTCCGCATGTCCTCGGGTTGTAAATCCATCAAATTTGTTTAAATACATTCAGGAGTTGATGGACCGGAAGTAATAAGTTGAAAAAATTACAGTAACCTAAAGATTTTGGTATTAATTCATGGAATAGTTACTTCGGCATTGAAGATTTCTGGAGTTAAAACAGTGTCTTGTTTATTTCGAATTGGCTCTAGCCAGCACTGCATATGTCCTGAACGGAAAACATCAACAATTTAAACTAATTTGACTTGTAAAGTGTCAACATAAAAGCTGAATGACACTGACGCAAAGACAACTGTAAGTTTGCTTGGGATTAATAGTGCACTTCAGAGGCCTAGAAAAATGACTGGAATTTAACTCTGAACGTTCGATTTTAACAAAGCAATTTGGGTCTTAGACGAAGTTGCATAACGATATTTGAAAACGTTTTTTCTAGTGGATATTGAAACAATATTTACTTCCGGATTCGAGAAGCAATGTGAATTCTTTTCTTAGGTGACAGAGCTTTATTCTGATAACTTTTTAATTCACTTCCCTTTTTTTTCTATGTATGGACTTGAGTATAAAGGCAGATTATAATATGTCTGCTATGTTGCATCAATGTAGCAGTGCAGTAGCAGTAAAAATAAAGACGCTAGGCTTGCACAGGAGATTAACATCCACAATAAAAAAGAAAATAAAAACCTTCAAATATGACCTCTCCGTCGGTAGTTAAAAATTATATTATATTTACCGAACAAAAAAGGGAAGATAGTTTTTGAAACTAAAGCTAACAAAGATGGTCACTAGTTAGTAACATTATAGTAAATGTAAGTCTGAACATGTCTCCTCGAGCAATGGAAAATTTCCATTTCTTTCCCCTCGATTGTAGCTTGGGAAACAGGACCATCAAAGTTGACTAAAAGCTACAAAAGTCCCCACTGAAAAAGCCAGAACGTTTCCGTTACTAACGCGTGCGTGTGTATTTTTTAAGGACAAGTATGCATAGGCCATACATTTCAATTTATCTTAATTTTCAACGGAATAGAGGAAGCCACAGAGCGAATATTTTAAAAAATCATCTGACTCAGCAGAAGATGTCTACATGAACTAAAAGATACCGCGGTGTTATTACTCAAATATAAGTCGTTGAAATATTTTCATATTAGCAGACAACGAGTTTCGTTTTGTTTTCGAATTACAAATTTTGGGCACTAGTCAACAGAGACCTGAC